AGGAAGGAAAGAACAGAAGAAGGAAAAATAGAACCCCGCTATCACCACCAAGTTCAGTCCCCATCAAGTTTAAACCTAGGAATCGTCTCTGCTTGTAATGCCTTAGCTTGGTGGTTTATTATCTATAAGTAAATAGATCAATTCAGATCAATCAATGTTCCGAATTTATAATAAAATACAGAACCATCTAGTTCTAAAAATGGTAATGAAGTTTTGCTTATAAACAGAACACACACAAGTTTCCTAAGTGAAATACAATATTTGCATCATTATGCAGATTCATGGTCTAATTCACTAGGCCTGCGATCAATCATTACAAGTGAAAACCAACAGTTACATGGTCTATGGCCCAGCAAAATTAGTGAAGAAGAGCAAAGCTAATGATCCTTTAACAAAGTAAGTCATCTATCTTGTGGCTGATTATCCAAGTACAGAAACTGGCCATCAGTCGATAGGACATCCCAACTATGAGAAAGAATTCTATCCATATAGTGAATTTCATGAATGCGGCCAGAACCGAGTTTTTCCTTACCTTGGTGTACATAGATGGGCCTGAGATTTTGCCATTCCTAGCCATGCCACAATTCCAGCACCAAGAAGTACCCACCCAAAGACATCGTACATCAGATCGTGATTCGCCTTCATAGCAGGGCTCTAATACAAAATAGCCAGATAAAGAATCTAACGATCAGATGATTGAAAGTTTCCTAACTAGGATAAAAATTGGCACTAGAAGAGGAAATGACATGACATGTCCAGTAGAAGTAGCACCAAAGCTAAAAGGTAAAATGGAACAGTTCTTTAGTTAAAAGTGAAGGGCAAGTGAAAGAGAATGTGTATTTTCCATGAAACACTTCTATCCTCTATTTCCCTCTTGACTCAGAGCCTGCAGATACCAAATGTTTGGCAATCTTTGGTAGAGCTTATTTATGATATCGTGATTGAACCCAGTAAACGAACAAATAGAAAATGATAAAAGATTTGACCTAGGCTGGACCTAAAGCTTTAGGGAAAGAAATTAAAAAACCTTTTTCAGGGTGAGGCTGACAAAAGCTTTGTGAATTAACAGTCAGTGCTTCCAACCAGCAATTAATTATTACTAAATACCTATCTTATTTAGGGTGGAAGGATTTCATTTCGCATAAAAAGCTAGACGAGGGGAGTACATAGACAACAACCATTTTTATTCGACAATGCAGACTCATATACTGAATAGAGTTTCCACCAGAGCAACAGAGATGCTAATGGTGCCCAAACTGTTCTTAATGAAGTGTTTGCTTCGCTGACATATAAATTGTGCCAGTCCAGCTGGACAACCTTTAGTTTAAGTCTTAAACTGGGAGGAAAGAAGTTAGTCTATAGAACTCACAAAAAGAAAAATATGCTTGATGTTTTCCATGCAAACTTTTGAACCCCATAAAATTGTCAAGTAAATCTCACAGAAGATCAAGCAGCAGTTCATGAATCAGTTCTCTAGCAAGAATTTTCTTTAAAATATACGATGTGTGAATTGATTTCAAAATATCATAATGAAGGAAATATATATTTAGCCCTATGCAAAGTAAATTCAACCTTTGCATTGAAAGAAGTTGAAGATCCACCAGAAGCCTGCTGAACCGTCCCTAGTTGGAGCTTCATATGCAATAGCATTGCCTAAAAAAATGGCATAGGAGAAGTTTCGTCATCCATGAGAATAAATGAATCAAGCACCGCTTGGGAAGCTAAAGACTGAGAAACATTGAAAAGTTAGCCATAATTTGCATATAAATTAATATATGCTTTGACTTCACTAAGAGATTCCTAAAGATATTGACATCCCCAAAAATTTCAAACCCAATGCAATCCATCTAATCATGATCATACATTCTCCACTCCAGGTTAAAGTAAGGAAGTCCCCAAGTGGTTAAGTAAAAGAGGAAAAAACTAATAACCTACGCTCCTCGCATCGCCTGTTCTATGGGCTAAATTTTTTTTTTATCACATCATTCATAGATATTGATAAAATACTTTAATCTAGTAAATAAGCACCCTCCCAGTTTACATTCGCATTCCTCCAATTTTCTGTAGATACAAATACCCCTTTCCTCCAACACACATATAGACACCACCAAAAGATTTGAAGAAAGCGGCAGATCATTGATATTCTGAAAATCAACCTTTAAAGACCATTAGTCCCATGTCATTCTTAAACATTAAGCAAATACAAGCTTTTTACATCTAAAACTTGCTGTCAGTTTTAAAATTCCAGAGGTAGATATCAAACTGAAGCCCCATTGCTTCAGGCGATGCTTAATTGAGTGTACCTATCAATTCCCATTTTACATGTCAGACAGATGCATGCACGCAAGACTGGCATTAGCAGGTAACACAAGTTCCATTCAAAAATCATCACGTTGTATCTCAAGTTAACAGCCATAACAAGTATGTGCACAGTGAACCCCTAGTGAATAAAAAACAGAATGAATCAGTGATGGTTTAGTTTTGTTTCTACTGCCATATGACACACAACTTCTCTTCTTACTTAATGTTTCCTCGTCTTACCAATAGAAAACTATGCAATTGCATATTAGTGATGCATTTGAGTAAAATAAGATGATAACATCCAGTAGAGCGTGCAAGTAGCACACATAGAGGATAAATAAGAGAATATCATCTAAGATGGTCTGACTGTATCCAATGTAGACAGAACCATAGGTACGACAGTGCGATGATTGAAGCTGTTAAAATAGGATGAAGTACGCATAATATCACAAGGAGCAAGGTTATCTCAGAAAACCTATAATCTCTCAGAACTGATGGGGACTTAGCTAAGAATGGAAAACAAAATGAGCAAAGGATCCATATATGTGTTACCAAAAAGTTGAAGAAAAGGTTTACTTGTAGTTACACTTAAATTTGATCCGGGGTTACTTGTAGTTACACTTATATTTGATCCGGGGTTTGCTAACAGTTTCTCTAAGTCTAGTAAGACTTGTATGTTTGCATAGGCACAATTGTGAGATTTAGAGAAGCTCTAGTTTTATAGAATCCCTAAGCTACATTCAAAGACAAATTATTAATATTGGAAAAACATGGGCCCAAATAGAACGGATAAGCACAGCAGATTCATATACCACCCACTAGTTTAAGATTCAGCGATGGCTAATTTGATTTGATTATTGAGTGAGACACAAGAAAGTTCAAAACCATGAGCGCTAACACTTCATAAAAATGGAACAGCATACAAGTGAAATCAATCAAAAAAGTGTCCAAGTTGTTGTCTGCCTGTACAGTTGAATTGGTGTTCCACTGTCCATTACATTGTTTTATGTCATGATAAGGAGAAGACTGACAAACTAATACGCATTGTATACCTGAGCATTGGCCTCCATAGATTTGCGGTACATCTCATTCCTGGGATCCTGAAGAACAAATGCCAGCAACAAAGATAGGTGTCGTAAGTAATGCTGCCACCTTGAAAGCTATAGAGATTCTATAACCTTCTTCCTTTCAAACTTTCTTTCTGGGGTGGGGAGGGAAGAGGAGTCTACCTCATCTAATGCTTTTTGAAAATACAGATCTGCCTTCTCAAAGTTACTCAGTGTCTCAATGGAGTCAGATGTCAAAAATGCTTCAGCACTGTGTGCTTTCCCAAGATGCCACAACGCTTCATGCTTTCGTGAATCAATTTTTGCAACCTCCTCTAGCTTCGAAATAGCCTCTTCAAGATGGAAAACAGTTAATTGCGCTGTTCATTATGAGTATTTATCCATGCATCATGAAATAAACATGCAGCTATCAGAGCTTCTGAGTTAAAAATTAAAGGTTCTGTACAACATCCATGCGCCCAAGGTTAACATTTAAACATCACATATCCATCAAGGAGCCCTACTAAATTGTCAGGATCACATCAACCTGAAGAATCAGAATCATATAGAAGTGTTCGACAATCATTTAGTGTTGAGCAAGCTCTCGTTTTTTATTAGTAGGCCAGGGTTGCAAGAAATATCTAGTTGGTGTTTACCATTATGCCTGTCAAACATATGTGCAAACGTGTTAAAATGTGCATAAATCATTTCTTGCATGTGCGAGGAGCATGCTCTTAATAAAGATAGGAAAGGAAACACACAAGAAGAAGTCTTCTAATATCCCATTACAGCTACTGCATTTCCAAGTTCAGTTTACAAATTCCTCAGCTAATACGGCAAGAAAAAGGTGACCAAAGGATTAATCTATGATGGCAAATGACTAATGTTACCTTTAACCATTTTCTTCGAGTCCTGGAGGGTTCCATATTGTGCTAACTGTAGCAATGCCATGCCCCATTGTGTTAAATTCTGCAAATTTTCACCAGAATCAAGTTGATCAAGCTCGGTAATATAAATTCACGTCCCAAAAGAGGCTTCTCATATCCTCTAGTTCTTATACATGGTATTTGTTAGCTCATAACCAGAAGGAAACAAGTGCAGATTATAAAAGAAATATACTTACCTCCACCTGGTATATGCACCAAGTTTAATTAATCTAACTCTATGATATAAGCAATTAGAAATTGATTCTTATATGTAATTATGTAAAGTTATGATTCAGCATTCTGTTTTAGTGAATTATGTTTTAACATTCAATTTGTATTTTCTTTCCTCGATTGAATCCTCGCTACAAATTCTATATTCTATATTATTTAATCCTTTTTAAAATAAAACAATTTATTCAGTTTGGTGCAAACACTACTGAACTTGACAAAAAAAAAAAAAGGACCCAAATTGGACGATAGAACAATAGAAGCTATTCTTCGTGTACGGGATATTAGAGCGGAGAAAGAGGGAGAGGAACCTGGGTGTCATTGGGATTAAGTGAGTACTTTGCTTCAGCATTCAATCGAGTTTGAAAGAGAAGTTCAATATCTGTCTCCGAGTCCGAGTTCTCCACGCTCATGTCCATTTCTTCCTCTTCTATGTTTGGAGTAATTTCTTACTGCTCTCTTCGTCCCAGGAAGGGTTTATCCGAGGTTTATCTATAACACCCAAAATATCTTTCTCAGAAGAAAAAAAACCTGTTTTAGTTTGGGAAGATTATGGAAATAAGGTGATTCGGAGGAATGACTCAATAAAGGCGCAGTACTTGCAATAATCCTGTTTTTTACTCACTCTTTTAGTTTAAATAAATGAGACTTTCTTCATTCCAAAAAAGAATAATAAATTAAATAATTTAAACCCCATTTGGCTTTTCATTTTATTCGAAAAATTTTCATTTTTTTCTGAAATTAGTAGTTGGCCATAAAATTTTCAATTTTCGCTTGAAGATAGATTTTAGAATTTTTAAAAAATTTTAAAAACTCTAAAAAGTTGTCTTCAAAATTTTCACTCAAATCACTTAAGAAAAAACAAAAACAACCCAAAATTTATATTCATATCCAAACACAACTCTAATTTTCAAATATCATTTTCACTTGAAAAAAAATTTACTTTTTTCGAAATTTTACAATTCCTATGTCCAAACACCCTCTTAAATTTAAACTTTTCATTTAACCCACTTTACCCTTAATGAGAAGCTTTTACAGCCACACAAATGCGATAACCCCACGAAGCTTTTGGTTGCCCCTTAAGCTTTTAGGACCATATATTTCAAAAGTCTTTTTTTTAAAAACTTTATGCTAAGTCAAGCTACATCATCTAAACTGAAACGTAGAGAGTAATTTTTTGGGAAAAAGGCCAAAATTATCCCTATACTATCGAAAATTAGTCACGTTTATATTCGTTTCTACTTTCGGTCCAAATATATGCCTGCCGTTAAGAAAGTAGACAAAATCGTCCCTAATCCTAACGGTTGTCCATGACTCAGCAACTAAAATGACACGGTGGACTCCATGTCACTATTTATTTTCCATCTGTAATAATAAATAACTAAACCCATTAAAATTAGTCTTCTCCTTCTCTAACAACATACCACCATTGCTGCAAATTCATGGTTCTTGTCCTGCTCCACAAAATTATTTCATAAATATCCATCATTACCAGTTAGTGTTTGAACCACCACTCCAGCCATCTTCCACCAAGAAAATACCCCACCTCCTCTCCACCTAGAAAATCATCAACAATCACTCATCGAAAATACCCACCAAAAAGTTCACTAAAAACCATTTCTTTAAACACTACCAGTCACTCATCAGAAAATCACCTCTCTTTTCTTCCATCTCTCGCTCCTCTTTACTGGTCATAACTGGCCAGTAACACTCCTTTTCCACAAAAAGAAGAAGAGTTAGAACCAGAAGAAAGAAATCCTTCATAAAAACCCATTTACCAGTGACCTCCTGTTTGTCTTTATAATTCCACCCAATGGAAATTTTTATTTTTTATTTTTGCTAAAAAATTTCTTTACTGCTTGAACATATCAGGACCAGTAAAATTTTGACGGCTTTTTCGCAAACAAAGAAGAATCAATTGGGTGAGAATCGTTTCGGGAATTTTTGATCTGTTTTGGACTGAATAGAACAAAGAATCTGACAATGGAATGTTGAAACTATTCAAAGCTGCAACCTGTTATTTGAATTAGAATTGGTTAAATCTTTATGCCTTGAATCTGGAAAGTTAGAGAAGGAGAAGACTAATTTTAGTGGGTTTAGTTATTTATTATTACGGATGGAAAATTAATAGTGACATGGAGTCCACCATGTCATTTTAGTTGCTGAGTCATGGACAACCGTTAGGGTTAGGGACGATTTTGTCTACTTTTTTAACGGCAGGCATATATTTGGACCGAAAGTAGAAACGGATATAAACATGACTAAATTTCGATAGTATAGGAACAATTTTGGCCTTTTTCCCTAATTTATTTTTTCAGAAAGTAGTTTTCAGATCCAAATTTGTGCCCAGCAGCAATGATGAAATATTAATATGAGTTCAAGTTTTCACTTATAGTAAAACTAGATGGCTGTGCACGGCGCAGGCAAATGCCCGACATTAAAGTTCATTTTAGTAAGATAAACACTTATATTATATAGCTTACAAAGCTGGTTTAAATCTTTTGAAGCTCGTTTTAGGGCAGAACAAATTTTAAAATATTTTAGTAGCATTTTTAAAACTTTTAAAGCTGGCTTATAGCTTTTGAAGCGGGTGTTAGAGCAGAATTAATTTTTAAAACATAGCACTCATCAGAAAATTAGTTGAATACTAAACCAGCATGTTGCAATTTGATTTTATCCTTCCTTGTCTTCGATGAATTGATGATATTACACAAACACTTAAGCTGGGCAAATGCAGAATTAGTCTGATAAAATTAATTCTTCCACACATTCCTCATTTTCTCATTGTGACTGAAATTTCAAAAAGTAAATCAAATGATTCACACTCTACAACCCTTAAGACGAACATACGAAAAGCCGCGTGACTGGATCCCGCACTGTGTCATGCATAAGACATGTTCAAACAAAACAATAGTAAAGGTAAATTACCTTAATTCTCAAGCATATAGCTCCTTCTCAGTTTAAAACATTTAGTTTCTCAATCTTCGTTAAGATTGGCATGACCGGAATAGTGTCACGACCAAAAATTTACCTAGTCGGGATGGAGCCTAACCCATCCCGCTAGGTAAGCCAAATAACAGTGAACACAATTCTAATGAAAATAAAGTAACTAAATCTCCATACAATAACCCAAGGATTGGTAGTACAAGTCATGAGCCGCTAAAACTTAAATTTACAAAGCTGGTATGAAAATAAATACAACATCTTTTTGAAATATACATACATAGAATATGAATCTAAAACTACCAAGGACAAGTGGTAGCTATACCCGGAAAGTGGGTACATCTTCAATGCCAACTCCCGCGTATACAACAGCATCAATTCGAAGATCTGCACGTTACGTGCAGAAGTCTAGTATGTTTATAACCGATCCCATATACTCAATAAGTAACAAACCTAAACGCAGGCTGAAAAGAGTGATGAGCTCGGAAGAAGGCAGTGTCCAACATCAATAATCAATAACAACACAGGATATGATAATGCAGTGATAGTAAATAACTCAAAAGATAGCATGTTCAGCTCGTTCACAAATGCGGAAAATTAGACATGCTTTACAAGTATAACAGTTAAAGCCCAAATCTTTCTCAAGAAACACTAAAATATGAGTTTAACAAGGAAACTGTGATTTTCCAAACTTTCAACATCAGGTAAGACATTTCATTACCATCTAGCATGAGGAAAGATACATCTCAATAGCAACATGTCAGATATACATGTCAAGTCAATAATATCACAGTGAAGCTATCAAGTTCACTCACACTCAGCACGTTCACAGTACCTAGCACAAATGCCCCTCACCAAAGCATATATATATATATATAAATGTGCTTGCGTTCACCGTAATATCAGACTTTGGAGGGGCGAATCTTGGCCCAAGCGCTAATCAATAATCAATATAACCATTGCGGCGTGCAACCCGATCCAAATATCAATCTGTTGAGGCGTGCAACCCGATCCAAATAGCAATCTGTGCGGCGTGCAACCCGATCCAACATAACTCACGATACGGCTCCATGTCCCACATCAGTCATCAATCCGCTCAAGTCTTTGTATGCCGGCATCTCATAGAAACATAATCCAATTATACAATACGGAATATCACAATGTGCCACAAATTCAACTCAAACTTGTGTCACGTACAAGGACACCAATATCATGTAAGACATCATATCAAACGTGCACAAAGATATAGATATAACACGCGGATATAACTACCATGACTGGACGGTATGACTACGAATAAGGCAAATAGTTCAACATGGCAAAAATAGCCCTATCATGTCTAAAAAAAATAAGAAGATAGCCTAGACATGATTTCTATCATGAATAATAACACACGTAGTCATACAAATGGAGAAAACATTATATTAAAGAAGCATGATAGCGAAACAAGGCATATAATAACCTAAGAACTAACTGGATCATGGATACCCCGATGCACGCACACACGTCCGTCACCTAGCACATGTGTCACCCCCAACACATCTCAAATATCATAGTTCTCAGGGATAGTTACCCTTAATACCAAGTTTAGATATGTTACTTACCTCAAAATGCGGAAGTCAATACTCCAAAAAGCCCTTCCCACGCGAATCGACTACCGAGAGACTCGAATCTAATCAAAATAACTTAATATCATCAATAAAAGTCACAGGAAACAATTCTAAATGATAAAGTTAAGATCTTGAATCAATCACTCAAAGTCAACCAAACAGTCAACCTGGCCCACACCCCCGGAAACTGACTAAACTCATAAATTTTAATAACCCATTCAAATACGAGTCTAACCATACTAATTTAACTCAAATCCGACTCCGAATCGATGTTCAAATCTCAAATATTCCCTTTAGAAAAGTTTTGACAAAACCCCCATTTTTTCTTTTAGATTCATCACTTAAATGCCAAAATCAGAAATGAAATCATGTAAAATAATCAAATCCAGGTAAAAAATACTTACCCAATCCAAATTATAAAAATTTCCTCAAGAATCACCCAAATCTGAGCTCCTAAACTCAAAATATGATAAAATAACTCAACCCTCGAATATAACATGTTCTGCCCAACAATTTCGCATTTACAAATCCAATCCTACTTCTGCGGTTCCGCATCTGCAAAAAAACTATCGCAGATACATGAATCTCTTACACCGTGATAAATCACACCTGCGGAGCGGAAATACCTTTTTATATGCTCACATACCTAACCTCCGCTAACATCGCATATTTGGACCCCTAAGCGCATCTGTACTTCCGCTTCTGCAATCAATCTTCGCATTTGCCGACTCTGCTCCCAGGACACCTCTTCTGCTTCTATGCACCAAATATCGCGGGGTGTCATAACCCAAAGCCATAACCACAGGAAAGTTTGTGGTTAAACGCAAGAATTGAATGCAATGATCCGACTGGTCGTTTTACGTATTTTAGACCCATTTCATCTCTTGAAGCTCTGTATGTATATTTGCGATTTTATGTCTTTCGGGGATGGTTGGATTTGTTTCAGGGAAGTTTTGGGATGATTTGGATCCTTTGATTTTTTGTTTAGAAGCTTAAGTTGGAAATGTTGACTGAGGTTTGACTTCGTGACAACGA